GAACCCCCCCACTACAAGAGCAACTAGTGGAGCTGGAAAAATTAGTCAATAATTTAAAATTTATTTTAAATATGCAAGAGGGGCTGTATTTTTTTGCAGTGATGCCAACTAATCTAATTGTAGATTAGACTATTTTACTGACAGGCCCTGTTTTAGGCCAGGGGGCAGTGCTGCGGCTAGTGAAACGCTGTGATTTTTCCTACTGCCACAAGATGGCAGGAAAAAACAATGTTGGAAGATTTAAAAATACACAGCGATGGGCATCGCAGAACGGAATACACTCCTGGCCGGCATTAAAAGGGAGAACTTACAAGAAACTGTGCACGTTGGATGGAAGAAAAATGTGAATTGTACGGAATTAATTAGATTGGTATTGACCTGGGTGTATACATCAAAAGATCTACACCGTATCCTTTCCTATGCAGGTTTCATTTGTAAGAAAAGCCTGTGATAGTGCTCATTTTTTCCTGTACACCATGCAGTTTGGCCTGGTTTTGTTCTGCTGGCAAAATCTGTCGTACAAACCAGTCCAAGACATAATGCACTCACCTAAAGTAAAAAGCAGGGTGATTATTTTAGTTTTTTATACTGTCTTCTTCCAAATATGGTTCTCTTCCCATTCCCTGTTCCTCCAGCCATAGCAGAAAAAGAGCCAAGCTAGAGGACACTGCTGTGGCCTTTGGGAACAGTGGGAGACAGAGGGACAGCAGCCGGGCAGGAGGGCAGGCTGGGTGCTAGCAGGCTGCTGCACTGGGCTGCTGGGCTGGGCTGGGCTGCAGGGTCACATCCATGTCCCTCCTGCCTGTTCTCCTGGGAAAACTACCCTTCAATGCAATGGGTGCCACAGGAGCTGCTGGGGCTTTGGAAGCGTGCTGGAATGGAGGAGTCTGTGCTGTTCATGCTCTCTCCCCAGCTGCTTTCACTTCCAATACTTTTCTTAAAGGAAATAAACCCTCTACAGGAACAGAAATTGGTCTGGAAAATACAACCAGACTGGCTGGGGGTTTTGAGTTACCCAAAGGCATTCCTCCTCAGCAGCCAGTATGGTGGTCCCCCTGCATTCTTCTGACAGATAAAAGAAAGCTGTGGAAAACTCACAAAGATTATTGTGCAGCAGGAGCTCTTTAACTGGTAGAAGTTAATTGTGCATGGCAGCACCGCGCAGACCCCGTGGGTCCGGCCCTGGTCCCGGCCCTGCTGCGCCGCTGCTCCCCAGCATGGCCTGCCTGGCCCGGCCTAGCCTGGCCTGGCCTGGTCCTGGCCTGGGCCTGGCCTGGCCTAACCGGCCTGGCCTTCCCTCACTGAGACATGGGGGATGTGCATCAGGGCCTTTGCAGTTTGTCTGCTGAGAAAGTTTGTCTGGGACAAAGCTCCTGGTCACGGCAGCTGTGCTGCCCTGTGGCAGTGGCCTCCCCAGAGCTTCCTCCAGCACCAGCCTGCTCCTCACCATGCAGCCTGCTCCTCACCCCTCCAGCCTTCCTCCTCACCATCCAGCCTGCTCCTCAGCTATCCATTCACCTTTCTTTCTCACCCAGCCTTCACTCCTCCTTCTGTTTTTTTCCCCCACAGCCTTCACCCCTCCTCGGAACTTGTTAGGAGCATGAGGGTAATTAGGGACTTTTGTGCTAGGACCAGTTCTTCTGTTCAGTCTATACTAATTAAAAGTATCAAGAGGTTTAAGAACTAGCCAATCTGTTTAAAGCCAAAACCTGGAGGATACACAGCTGTCCTGTTTCTTATGCTGGCTTCCTCTAGACTCTGCTCTGGCCTGATGGAGAATGAATAACTAGCCAGCCTTCAGGTCCAACCTGCATTGACTCTTTTCCCACCTGTCTTATGAATGTTGTGTCTACACTACTCATAACTAAATACTGAATTCTATAACATGGGCACCAGACATCCAGAATCTCCTCCCAGGCTGGCAATATATTTTTCACTATGAACCAAGGTTCATTTCACAGTGATAACATGAAGAATGACAAGTCATCAAGAGTGAAGGAGCAAAAGCAAAATGCTTAAAGCAGCTTTCAACTCTTGTGATGATGAGGGAAAAGAACAGATTATATGGGTGCCCATCACCTGAACAGAAACACCCTTATCCCATGACATAATGCTAAAACAGATCCTAATGTCTTCACACCTTTCCAGATTCTGATCTGGAATTTTCAGCTTGGATTTTTAAGATATTCTTCCTTGTACTGCTTCTTTTCGTAAAATTACTTTGGTCCCAGCTTGCTTCTGCAGTTAGCAGCTTCATTCTGTGAGTAAAACAAGTGATGGAAGGTCTTCAGCTGCTGGCAACACCACAAGAACACTGCCAGCATCCAGGAGCCTTCCTTTGCCCTTTGGATGCCCACCTCTGAGTTATGAGGTCCCACCTGCTATTTAAAGGTAGATTAAGCCTTCCTTGAAATTAATAGTTTAAACTGAACACAAAATTACTTTAATTTAGCTCATGCAGGACATCCTACAACCTTGGTCCTTTTGCCAGGCTTTCAGCAACTGACTATCTAGGTCAAAACAGCTCCAGAGTATGCTTAATCCTGCTCTGGATGTGAGGTGAGCAATCCTTTACAGATTGAGGTGTTAGTAGATATGTGTGTATGGAGAAAACAACACTCTCTAGACACCTGCTCACCTTCGGTTCTTGAAAAGAAAATCCTTCCCTTTCAGCACTAAAGTGTTGACTGCAAGTGTCAATTTGCTATCTTTTATAGAGAAAGCAATACTGAGAAACCATTCACTACAGGTAGTTTATCTACAAAGCAAAGACTGTCCAGGAATTTGAAACCACTGGCTAGAAGGGATTTTCTATTTCTATTCTACTGGGTTAAGGGATTTTCTATTCTATTCTACTGGATAAAAACTCTATCTGAGTTTTTAATTTTTGTTTTGTTCATCAAGGTGTATATGCCTGAGAGAGAGCAAATATGCAAATCAGCTCCAAAGGGAGGAATCCCCTGCACAGCTGGCATAATCTCACTCACAGTGCTGGATCAGGTCTTGAGTGGGCTATACTGACCTCTGCTCTTCTCCTGCCACTTTTCACTACGGCCACAAGTAAGGGCTGAGACTGGATTGGGCAGTCTTAACCCAAAAGACCCAATCTGATCTGAAATACAGGGGCCCTTAGCTGTGTGAGCTTAATTGGGTCCTTCTCCCTATTTCTGAGACTGTCAGGCACAGGAAGGTGGTTGCTGACTGTTGGAACAGAAAAATGTGTCACAGAGCTGAGATGCTTTTCTTATCTTGACTTACTTAATGTCTGTCCCACCTCCCTCTTCCATGAAGAAGTCTTTCATGCCTGTCCCATTTTCTACCTTTCTAGGGTCATAAACAATAGTGATTACCAAGTAACTTCATCTCATCCCTCTATTAGCTTAACCATTCCCTTGATGGATCACAGACTGGGCAATGACAGGCAAAATCTCTGTCATTAAAAACTCAAACTCCCTCTGCTCTCAGAGGCACTGGTATGGTGACAGAGCTCCCCTTGCACGCAGGCAGCCTTGCCTTTTGCCTGGTTACATCTCCTCCAGGCAGGATGATGCATCTTGACTTTACAGCTGCTCTATGTGGCTACACATGCTTTCACAGCAGGATCAATCAGCACCAACCACCCCCCTTCCTGGGATCTGAAAGAGTGCTGCCTTTTGGCACAGGAATGAGCCTGCTGTCCCCAGAGAACATAAAGACAAAATCCTAGCCAAAGAGGGAACCATGAGAACAGAGCTAAGGTTATGACTTTGTAAATGTTTATCTTCAGTCTGTATTTGATGTCTGGATAATAAGGTGACCAGTCTCTTACAGAAACGTCAGGCAGGTTAAACAACAGAGGGGCACACTGTGGTTTTCTTGAGCTGCAGAACAGAGCATGTGCAGGGCCTTACCATTCCCCACTTACCACCTTTGTGGCTGATGGATGCTTTCATGCAGTGTCTTTTCCTAAGCCCTTCAGATCTGAGCTGTAAGTATGGTTGATACAGCTGTGCTTCTTTTTTTTTTTTTTTTTTTTTTTTTTAATACCGGTTTTCCCTTTGTACTGTTTGCATTTTTTCATGCTCCTTTGGTTCACTCACCGTTTTCCAGTTTGGTAAAGAAACTGTCTGTGAAAACAAGAATAGAAAAAAAGAAAATTATCAAAACCAGTTTTTTTATATACATGGGGAAGAGGTGTTTCAAGGTGAGTCTATCAGGTTATGCACCTAAGTATTATTTCTGCCCTTGAAAATCTTTCACTTACAGCACTTAATTGGTCTGTGCAAATCTATTGCTTAAGAGGTAATTGGCCATTTTTATAGAACAATCAGAAACAAAAACACTCCAGGCTGTTGTTGTAACCATTTAAAAAAAAATAAAAAAAGGAATTACGGAAAGAATATGTTTCAGGGCATCATCCAGCCTTTCTTGAAACTATGCAAATTCACTTGGTGAAAACAACAGCTGACACAAAGAAATGAGTTGTATATGAAGAACTGAGATCTCAAATGTAATATTATGCAGAAAGTAAAGAGTCTGTACTAAATAAGTAACAGCTCAACGTGTTACCAAGGGTGCACTTTGATTTTGATGAATGTTAAAAGAACCTTTAGCCTTGAAAATAAAGAGGATAATTTCTCTCTAGGCAATGGCTGCTCGTGAAAGCCATAAAATAAGAGCACTGGAGTCCTAATTTTATAGTGCTTTTTAAATGATTTTCAAATGGTCCAGCTGCTTTGTGCCACAATAGCACACGGCAGAGATATTTACGCCGGCAATAACAAGCATGCATCAGCCTGCCCAAGCTGCTCTCTGCAGGCAGACTGCGGGAGGCGAAACACACGTGGAAAGATGATACTTGCCAGTGTGGCTTGATCGCAATCACACCATGGTCAGAGCAATCCTGGGAAGCTGCTTTTTTCACCCAACAACTCGATGTTTTCCTTGTCTGTGTGTTGCCTGCGAAGCACGAGATCTGTGCAGCTGGCAGCGCTGGTTCTATTTTGACACTTGAGAGCCTGCCAGCAATGTGTGCCTCTTAGGCCACACTGTTCTTGGCAGGCGTGTTTTTTTGGAAATAGAATGGCAAACTCAACGCTTGGTTACACTGCTGGTTTGGGGTGGGAGTTTCCACAAGGACTAGTGTGGCCCTAGCTTTGGTGTTCTGATGCAGCACTGCATTACCTTCTCTAGAAATTCATGCATGTGGCAAGTGAACTCTGGGAAATGCAATGGAATTCTGCTGAGATGCTGAATTGCCACCAGCAACTTTCCCCAGGTATTTTACCTCTGCACGTTTAGGACTTCAGTCTAAAACTACAATTTATTTCCAAAAAAATACTCTAAGATGAGAACTGCCCTGGGGTGCTCTAGCTTAGCTTGCCAATTTGGGTAGTCATTTCAACAGTTCAAAAAAAAATTTCAAATTTTTTTTTTACAGTCCCCTCTCCTTGGTGAGACATTGACATTAGACAGGGTACTGGGAGAAACCTGCCTTCTGAGCCAGCAGAATAGGCTTTAAAGAGCAATTCCTTTATGAAATATTCCATTAAATTTAAATAACTTGTCTCTTTCCATGTTCACTAGTGCTAGAGGCATAGCAATGTTCAAGTAATAAGAATTTTGGTGGGAACAGGAAATTTTGAGCATGAGAGAAATGTCTAATTTATGGCTGCAAATTTATTGCATTCGCAGTAATTCTCAGGTCCATAAAGCTGAGACAGAGCTGGGCAGAGGACATGGCAGAAAGAAGTCACCTCTGGAAAGTTCTCAGCCATTGAGCATCCGTTGCCACCAGTAAGAGAAAACTGTCTCCCATATGGGTGATTTGTATGTGTTGGGCAATATTTTCCCTTTTTCATTTGCTGATCCCAATCAGCAAAACAGGTTAGCATCTTTTTGTGTCCGGGGATATACTTAAGACTTTTAATTTTAAACAGGGGCCTATTTTCTCTTGGAGTTGAGTTTTAAGAGTTAACGAGCAGAATGGACAGCAAATTAGGAATGTATCCCAGAGGAGTACCTAGCATATTTGCTGCCTTCATTTAACCAAATGAAGGAGCATGAAATATTCAGAAACATTCTATACCCTAAACAGAGAGGAAAACTAGATTTGATGCCAAAGCTTTAGGTCATGTTCCTTTCATTTTTATCTCATATTCAGATTGCCTGACATTTCTCCTTGTTGCTTTCTATTCTTTTAATTTCCTAAGAGTTTAGAGTTTACATAAGTGTATACTGTATCTTAGTTCAGTATGTAAATCCTGCAGCTTGATGAAATTCCTCACGACTGAGTAACTCTTTGGATAGCATTGCCTAGAGAAAAGTGGCAGAATATCATAAGGCAAGCCAGCATAAAGGAAGTAGATCTGCTTTTCCTAAGAATACAGCAAATAAAGATTTTTCCTTTCAAATCAGAAAGGAGTACACATAGTGTTGTTCCAGGCTGCACAGAATAGTGCTATGGTCACAGATTGCTTAAGTTTGTACTTCTGCCTCACTCATATCTCATCTCATCTCATCGCTGAGAGATCCAATTTACAGCAGCTCAAATTAAGTAGCTTCCAGGGTATTAAATACAGCCCTTTCATAAATCAAGAACTGCTTTTTGTTACTAGAGATCTGAGTCCAGAAACAGAGGAAAACACGTGGCATAAGGCTTTGTAAATGGCCAACTGGCATGTCTCTGCAATAGCTCTTTGGAGCTTTTGGCTATTTCTCAAATGAGAAAGTAACTATTTTTAGTTATTTTTGTTGTCTACGCTGACAAATCAATACAGAAAAACTAAAAAAAAAATAAATTAGTGATTTCTGACTGAGACCTCAAAACTGTCTTCTGTTTAATTGCTTTTCTTTTTTCTCTCCTGTGACAGAAGATACATTCTGATGATTACTAGTACACCATGTGTGATCCTTGCCACTGATGTGGATATGGTTTTGTTGGTCACTCCTAGTCGCTCAGGATCCTTCTGTTTTCCCATGTGCCAATGAAGACAATGTCTGTAAGTAGATAATTAGGCTTATCTGAGTGGTTGAGTGACATTTAGTTAATGCTGCTGAAGCAATTTGTGATTGTTTAATGCTACTACTGTGTAAGAGCAGCAGTTTACCATTGGGACAGGAACTCACCATTTGCCCTTGTTAATGCACACAGAATGTATAGAAATGTGCAACAAGGTCAAAGTCGATTGTGTCATCTATGAAAGCTTATGATTACAAGTAGCTCAAATTATCTTGTTGCCTTGTAATGTATTCCTGTCTGTAGAGTCCACTGCCCACCACACTCTGAGATATTTTTTCCCATTTGAGAGGTGTAATAAAAAGTAAGGTAGTAGAAGAATGGTTGAGATTTCTGAATATACTCATATCTGGAAATGCATAATTCCAAGATATTTCACTTCTGAAAAGAAATAAGTTTAACAAGTTTTACTGACTTCAGTTGGCTACAATCACATTGAAGACTGCTGGCCCAAACACCCTACAAAATGCACCTCGGGAGGTAGCTCAGATCCTTCTATAACTGGATTTGAAATATGTATGTTGAACACATTGAGGTTTTAGCATAGCTTGGAACTATACAATGTTTCTTTGCTGATGTGATATTAGCCTTGCTGATCTGGTTAAACTCCAGTTAATAAACCTGCCTGCTTAAGATCAGCATGAAGTTTGACTTCTGCAGAATATTTCACATATTGTGCCCTCAGCTGTTTATTATATAGCACTTCAGAAAACATTGTACCTTTAAACCCAAAAGGTCTTGGCCTTGGCCTTGTATATCAGCAATGGCTGATAGCCAGACAAATATTTAATAATCAGATTGTTGACAACTTCAAAGTCCTCCAGGATGAAAGTCATCTTGTTAAGTCAGCCATCCCTACTTTATTTTATGATATATTTAACTTGTTTAAAGACACGGAACATCAGATTTCTGGTAAAGGCATACAGAGAAATATTTCTTACAAAATACAGCATTAATTCTATATGGATCTTTGATTTCCATGTTCAGAAACTGCACATAAATGATTCCACAGAAACAAGAAGTGACAATATATGGTACTGCTCTGGGTTATTTTAGCTCTGGCACAAGTTCTGATGCTGGTATGGGTTTGCTCAGTAACGGAAACATGCACTGTTTATTAACTTCACCGAGTACTGTGCTGGGCCCTAAAAGCACATACTCTCTCCATTCCCCATTTCTATCTCATGAAGAGCTCATGAAACCTTATTGTCAGGTGTTGTTCCTATTTGTCTTACTGAAGTGGGCACAATAAAGAAAATTCCATGTGTAGTTCTTGATCAGCTTCCAGTTTCACTCTTTGCAGTCTGTAACTCATATTTAAGCTGGTATTAGTGATCAGCTGTTCTATTAACAAATAAACCTGTTTACATTACTATTTCTGTTAGCCGAGTGTTCTCAAAGTTCGTTTTTTCCTTACTACACATACACGCTGTTGTTGTCTATACATTTTTCATTTTGTTCTCCACCATTTCTTTCCCTCTACAAGACAGAATGTGATATTGAAAGAAACAATCAAGAGTAGTTTGGAACATGTATATTCATAGGCATTAAAAGGTCTTAAAACTGCACTTAAAAGGCTGTCTAAAATCAAATGTTGTTGTTAAAAGAAAACAATGTCATTGATTTTTGTCTTAAATCTCGACCTGTACCACCTGTCAGGCTCAACTCTACAAATCCTTATTTCTGCACGTGGTTCTAATAAGTAAAATAGTTCATTTCCAAGTGTAGTTACAGGTTTAACCGGAAAGGCAAGGGTGGGTTTCCCCCTCTCCTGGCCAAGGCAGAAGTTCAGCGAGGCGCTGCCCATCGTTGTTCCTGCCTCAGCCCAGCCGGGCTCCGGGCAGGGCCCCGTGCTTGTCCCCAGCGCAGGGCACAGGGCCACCTGCCGGTGCCACACTCCTGCCTGCGGGCGCAGGGACATCAGGAAGCAGGCGGCAATCCGGAAAACCAAGTTTTGTAAATGCAGAGTATTTCCCCAACGTCACCTAGCTCATTTTTTGGCTTTGCTGTTAATAGCTAAAAGAATGGCCACTTTAGCTGTAATCAGTGGGCAATCATCAGGGTTTTTTGTTTCCCCTGCTTCTCTCCTGTAGGAAATATTGTAATTTCTAGATATTTCAACAAGTTTGCAACCTGATGATGGTGAAAAACCCTTGTTTTGGCATAACACTGGGTACTAGGCATGTTGAGTGCAGATGATTGCATGCTTTCTCTATGCTTCAGAGTGAAATACCCATCTGCACAGTTTTCAGAAATAGTGCAGTCTGCTGTCATTCAGAATTTCCATAGATTTGTCAAAGTTTCAACTGCAAATCAAGTTGTCATATAAACAGCCAAAATCAGAGTACTTTTTAATGTGAAAATTTCCATTCTAGTTAAAATTACACCAAAAAAAGGTAAAAACCAATTATTGTTCAATTTTAAAGTTGCTCAGGATCATGAGCCCATCTCGTGCTTTGTATGGTAAATGCTGGAGCACTTATAAAATCTGTATGTTGCACAATTATAAATTAATACAAAGCAATGAAGAGAGTCTAATTCTCTTTTTAATTGTTTTTCTGTGCAGTAGGTTCTATCTTTAATGGATAGTCCTTTTGTTTTCTTCTGTGCTAATCTTAAGTCTATTTTAAGGCAACGACGTTAAGGCAATGAACTATATAAAGTTGGACAGCATATGTTAATTAGTACTGTATTCCCCAGCCCTTCAGAACAGCTCAGCCTCAAATAACACTTACATATTGCCTATGTAGAGATTAGGCCACTCTTCACCCACGTGATTTAATTCCACCTTGCAGCTGTCCAAAATATCTGGCAGTTCCTGGGCAAAGGGAGTGCCAGGCTCAGAGCATTCCTGGGCTGACAGGGTCTGTCTTCAGGTGCTGACCCCTTTGGAGGCCTCATGCAGAGTCAGGCAGAGGAGGGAGGGCCTGCTGGAAGCCGCTGCTGTGCAATGCTCAGGGCAGGTTTTTGCTGAAGCAGGCTCTTTGTGCCGCCTGATGTTCCCGAGCAGGTGGCTGACTCTAAATACAGCTCGCGCCTTGACGCCTCCCTGGGTTAGCTCAGCACTATGTCCCTGATGCAATGGGGAACAGCCAGAAAAATGAACCTTCTGCTTTAAGTGAATCTTATGCAAAAAAAATGCTACTCCCGTCCTCACATAAGATATGGTGCTGTTCCTGCTAGCACGGAGCTTTCCCTGTGAAAGAAATGTCAGTCAGAGCAACCGAGACGCAGTCCCAAATGCCTCATGTGACCCAGTTCTAATAATAAGCTACCAGGAAAGAGGGGACAGCACAGCTTGAGGGTGAGTTCAAAATAAACACCATGAGAACACTGGTCCTGCGCCTTACCCAAGGTTCACCAAGCCCACTGTCCTGTGCTTGGACTGTGGCTGAAAGTGAATGCCTACACAACATAAGAACACACAAGCATGAATTATACTTGTGTATATAATAGTAATAACACTCTCCTAGCTTCCAGCTTCAGTTTATGAGCTTGCTGATCTGAAAGAAATCCCTGAAAGGATTTCTGTCCCTCAGACTTTTCCACTTGAATGTCTATAGGCTTCTGTTCTCTGCAGCATCCTGTGGCAAGTGTTACACAGCTCATATAAACCCCTCCTCTTGTTTCAGACCTGATTTCTACTGACTTCATCTGACGCCCTCAGTTTGTGTACTGGAAAATAAAATGAAGGGACGTTTTCACTGGAACTCTACATAGGTTCCTTCAGGTGACACTGGTTTTGTGATTGCTTTAAGCAGATTTAAGTCTGCCAGAACTGTAGTGGGGACAGTTCCTTTCACTTGCACCTTCTCCCAGGTTGTGTAGACCCTCTTGATAAATGCGTATTTTCTGAATGAAATGCCACTAGGGAGGCAGTATTTTTCCTTCATTTTGGTTTCTTAATCTAACTTTCCAAACAAACATTCAAAATACAAATTTTTATGCAGATAGTGGAAAGCAGTGAAGTACTAATGTAATGTCACATCATGACTTGAATTATGGATAGTGTAAGTGACAGGTGAGGAGGTCTTTTTTCCTCTTAGCACATTGCAGCAGGCAATGCTTTCTGTTTTAAGAAATTATAGGACTATTCTTCTCCTTTTGCTTATGTCGACTGGAATTTTTTCCCTGCAAAATGTGCACTCAAAGTAAATTTGTATATAAAGAAGCAATACAGACAGGCAGGAAATATAAGCAACACTGCCTCCACAGATTAAAAGCAATTCTGTGATTTGACAATGCTCTTGAAAAAAGTTCATACCTAATTCATGCCTTCCACTGAGGTAAGAAAGTTGTGCTCACAAGATCACTACCATGCCATTGGTGGTATGGATGCCCTACTGATTTAGCTTCTCTCTGTGCTCTTCCCTTCCCTGCCTCTGGTGAAACAATACTCTCCCAGGATGAGCAGTATCTTCAAGAGCAGGTACTAATTTATAACAGGAGCAGCTTTCACAGCTGTGGCTTTGTAGGACAGATGCTCAGAGGCATGCAAAACATTATCCTGATGGGAGGATTCCATTAATCTTGCTCACATGTGTCTAATTTTGCCCAGCCTAAAGCCATTAAGATGCATTATTTCACTCACATGAATTTCAGATTTTCAAAAGGTTTCCAGACTAAAACCCACTATAATGTGAATGAAGTATAAATTATAATGAAATATTAACTCATATAAATCCCTATTAATTTTTATGGAGAACTTCAAAGCAAACAAAGCTCCTCCTCCACTGCTCTGCTGCTTTGTGAGGTATAAAGATTGTCCTAGCACTGTTGGGTTTTAAATGTGATTTCTTATTTGTTCTTTTCACATAACAATGTCTTACCTTTCTCTCATCAGTGGAGCTCTTTTGCAATATTTAGGAAAATCTCAACAGTCAAACTGATGTCTGAAAGGCTCTTAAATATGCTTATTTTGCAAAGCACTTGTGTACAGTGAAATAGGGAGGGATTTCTACATTCCCCTAAATGCTAGGCAGAGTCAGCATTCATGTCATTACCTTTGCAAGAATGAAGAAAGAAATGTGGTCTAGAAAGGAAAAGATTCAACGCAAAAGTCACCATTATATTAGTCTTCTAATAACCTTGTCAGTCTCTTCCAGCAGAGAATAAAATGATCAGAACTGATGCTTCAAATGCAAACAAGCAAGCAAAAATGTATTTACTTAATCTGTCAGGGAATCTTTTAAAGTCAACTAATCAAAAAATCCAACCAGCAGCAAAGGGCAAAACCAAATTTGATTATCATTTCATGGTTCACCCCAAGGTAACAAGCTAATTTTCAAGTAGAGTGGTAGCATTAATTTCAAACACTGCTCCTGTATTAAAAATCACATTGGTTTAAGTACTGATTAACTGTAACAGGAAAAGTGACATCCTCAAAACATCTTAAAACTATTTTGTATCTATTAGGCCAAGCCACTGATGTAAGCTAAATATCTACCTGATATTAAACCACGGTGATCCAAAGCCACTGACACAGAACTGATTTGGGATAATCTGGAGTGCAAACAAACTGATGAGTCCAACTTACAAAATGCTTTGAAGACCTAACAAATTTTTTTAATGTCCTCAATATACTACATTATATACATTATCTTTTTGAAAACATATTTAACAAGAAAGGACTCGTGGGGTTTGCTGACTCAGGCTGCAGAAGTATCATAAACATTTATTCTGATGGTGTGGGTCTTGTGGCTGACACAGCTTTCTGTAACACCATATTTAGCAGGCCAGCAAAAGAGGAACGTTTCTGTAGGAGTGCCTGGGCTCTCAAGAAACTGGCCTTGTCAGATCATTGCCCTGAAGCACAAAATTTTTCTTAGGAGAACATGCACGTGAGAACTGTAACCAAACTGAGAAAGCTGATTATGTTACACTTCCAAGCAAAGGGGACTCAAACATCCTTTACAGCTAGATGCAAATATTGAACTTGCCTCTGGCACGAGCAGAAATCAGGGACAAACTTGGGCTGTCTTAACCACTTCAGCGCATTCATCCAATAACACCACTCAAGGCACAGCAGTTCCACCCTGTGCAGTGGTTATAGAGTGCTGCTGTTGGCTATTCTGGATTTGGAGGGACTGAGCTATCAGAATTAATCCATTTACCATTCTGTTGGCCTTTTATGTCAATGCATAATTGTCTTCATTTTTGTAATGTGCACAGATCATGGGTAGTTGTATGTGCACCACGGCTCTGCAGGGTGCAAGTGAGTGAAGTGACTGTAGATAGGGCTGCCTGTTCAGCAGTCCTTTGCCGGAGCTGAACATCCAGGTTTCGCAGGTGCTTCAGAAAACCACGATTGGGTGAAATCCATCTATGTTCCTTCACTGTCTTGATGGCTTCAACTAATGGCAGGTGGTGATTTATCATGAGATA